ACAAATTAGTTCAGCTCACTGATTGGGTGACAAAAATTTTATTAAGGGAAAAAAATCTTAGGATTTCAAGATGCCAAATGAGGTCTACTTTGGGTGAAGAGTAAATGAGACCACTTGATCTAATTTGCTTTAAATTTTATGTAAAAGAGTGAAAAATGCTATCTTATTGACTTTGGGTTGCCATTCAAAAAAACTTTACAGCTGTTTTCTCATTTTTTCTCAGTATTGATCCAATTCCACAATTAAAGACGTGGGGTCTATTTGTTGTTTAACAGGTTTTATCTCTGTAATAGCATCCCTCTGTTCAAGGCAAGATAATAGCACTATTTCTGTCACTTCAGTTAAGGCTGTGTCAATATTTTCATTAGAAGCCAGCATTTTACGGACTAAAACTGTACCACAGCCAAGGAAATTCATGTAAGGTTAAAATTAAGACAGCAACATCTGAAATCCAGTGGAAAAGAAAGAAAGAAAGTGTGCTCATTCCTAAGCTTTGAGGAGAGAAGTTAATGATCGTGAGGCCTTTTTGCATGTATCCTTCAAACCCAGCTCCCCTTCCACAGCTCCTGGCATTTTATAGCTTAGCACTCCATATCCCTCGCTGATGATATGTTAGCTGTGAGTGGAAGGTTGTAGAAACTGAATTAGTTTAATTTAAGAAACTAGCTACTATATACGCTCAAGGTCTGATTGCAGTTAGGAATCCTTTCTTTTTCATGTGTAACGAAAATATATTTGTACAGGTATTCGGTGTGGATTGATGTACTGTAGGTTTCTCAAAGTAGTTGTATAAAAGTTGTTCTCTGCCATGTTAGCATTCTCTGATGAACACAATGGGCTGTAAATCTTGTGAATTTATGTATTTGCTTAGTGATTCAGGTTTTAAAGAAGAACAGTGTACAAACTTGGGGTAGAGAAGCTGGAGAAACATGAACAGTCATCTGTGCCTCAAACAGGCAAAATTTCCATTGATTTCAGGGTCTGATTTAAGAACTGATCACAGCACATGTGGTTAGAGAATTATTATAATTAAGATTGCGGAATCACATTGCATGTGAAGAACAAAAGTTGTCTTTCTGGGGTGTATCAGTTACTTTAAAAATCTCCATAATATTTTATCATTCTTTAAATTAGCATGGGTAGGTCAGGGTCACAAATTTTATAGTGATCTTCACATTTAAGTTTTTGAAATTAATTTTATATGCTAAGAAAGAAAACATAACAGAAAACCACAAAACTTGTATATATTTGTCCCCTATCTTATAGAATGTTCATATCAAATCATAGGAAAATATGGAGAAAGAAAACAGAGTTGCTTAGCAAATGCAGCAATCTGTTTAGAGAAAAATTTGCAGATGTGTTGTAAGCAAATGAAAATACAGACCATTAGAATTGCATGAGAAGGAACACTTAAGTGCAGTGGATTTAATGATCACTTTGATGCTAATGGAAAATTCAGTCCTTGAAATGTTTAAATGTAGTTTATAAAAGTGCTGCTGTTTCTCCAAGCCTCAGTCATGTACATATCTTTTTATTCAATCCCCCTCTTTTGGTGAGAGGTGAAGAGTGGGAACACTAACATTTATCTTAAAAAAGTCCTTCCTTAACTGAATTTTGAGTGAGCAGAAAAGTGAGTAGGACTACATGAGTATTATTTGTCTGTTCTCTGAGGAACAGGGTATCCTATATATGTCATTTTGGGAGACCGGCCAAAAAGAAGATGCCAGAACTCTAAACAGTCCGGGCTTTGCAACAATATAATAAAATATAACAACAGGATAAAAAAACACCCAGTGAGGAAAACAAAGTCCTGAACTTTTAGGTGATATAATCAGGTCTTTGAAAACCCCAGTGTATTTAGTGGAGGATTTATTCTTTTACTGCTGGACCAACCCCAGTTAACTCTTCTGTTACACTCATCAATATTTATGGAGAGCTGCCAACGCACACAGCCTTATACAAAATACAGGACAAGACATAGTCTCTGTCTTGTCGTATCTTTCAAGAAAGAAAAAGATGGAAATTCTGGTTCAAATTCCAGTATAAGGAGCAGGTGTTTACAATTTTAACTTCAGGAGAAGTAAATGCAGTCTTGTTTTTCTCCCTGGTTGATTGACAGAATTATAATTGCAGTTCCCTTGATGATTATTTTTTAAATTTGTTTTTGAAAGTGAGGTATTTGCAACTCTGACAGGTTGATTTTTATCAAAATCAGCATATATGTTTCAATTTTTATTCTTTAATGTAAAATTATTTGTCCTTGTCTATTTTTTTACTTTACTTTTTAATCTTATTCAGCCCTTTCAATCTTATGCTTAATAATTTCTATCCAACATCTCAGCTACGTATTTCTTGTTTTAATATATGTCTTAAGTTATTATAACTGGCTGCAACTATATACAAAAGTTTCAATTTAAAATATCATGATGATTAATAAAGCTTTATAATTACACCTTTTGTAATTAATGGTGTGCAAGTATGAACATGGTGAACACAATTTCCAGAGCAGATTAATTTGATGCAAGTTGGCTGAGGCTTCAAATCTAAAACCAGTTGAGTTATTACTGTGCTGCATCAGCATATATTGATTTTAAGGTACAGTGTTAGCATTCACTTATCACTGCATATTTTTCCCCATTGTACATTAAAAGTGCTTGCCCTCATCCGAAACGATCTCATACTGCATAAATCATATAAAATGGTTACCTGTTTCCCTGATTTATTTCATTTTTATGTTAATTATACTGGAACATAGGATTGTTTAATAAAAATGTTGAAGCTAATCTATATTGGTCATCAATATTTCTTACGCACGTTACACGGTGGAATGTGTGATAAACCACAATATCCAACATGTATGGAAGGGCATTTAAAGTGAATTAGGATTTAGACTCACTTAGAGCTGAGACACATTTTAATTTTACAGAGGCCAAACAAAATCGGGTATTTACACAGTATTTTTTTATAAGTTAACGTTGTCTATTAATCATAATCACTAGAAAAATAAAGCATCTCACCCTCAGTTTTCACAGTTCAGAAACATAATATACGCTTTAGCTTCTCAAAATGACTTTCTTAAGGCAACACTGGCTTCCCAACAAAATGAGGCAAATATTAGAAAATTCCCAGTCAAGGTAAGACACTCAGTGCAAACTTGCGTTCTTCCAGAGAGGGTTTTTGTCTGGAGAAGCGCAGCAGGATCGGGCTAGGACATATCTGACACCGAGCCTTCAAAGACTTCTACTCATGCACTGCAAGAAATCCTCTTGAAATCAAAGACGTTTCGTGAAATCAAAGGCTCGGTCCCGTGTAAATAGTCCTCAGGGCCATTGATGAAATGGTCTGTGACATATTTACTGAGGGTATTTCTCAGGACACACAAGGAAGATTTTTGCAGGATCAGGGCCTTGGCTAATGCTTAGGAGATCAGAGCATTTCCTATTTTCCTTTATGACATTGCCATTTTAAATTCAGCTGACTCCAGATATTCTGGGTAACTCGAGGCATACAATGATAACTTTAAAGTAATACACAGACAATATGTAACTCTTTCTTAAGGATGAGGAACACATTTTCAAATAACAGAAATTTCATTTTTTTCTAATCTGCTATTTCAGGAACAAGAGCAACAAGCAAATGTTTTTAGAGTTGTGGACATATGTTACTCTAAAGGAAAAAGATCTCAGAATTGAACACCTCCTGATCTGCCAAATAATTAATGAAAAGTAATTTTATTATTACGACAACTAAACTCCAGGGTGCCATTTTCCTAGAAATTCGAGTTGTTGAGGATTTTAGTGTTTGAAAACATTTTTAATCCTGCAGCGAGGATTAACGACCTGATAGACATAAAAGGTGCAGAATGTATGTGATAATCTGAAGGTATTTTGGAATATGCGCTGTAGTTTAAAAAGTTTCCACAGAAAGTATTATCCTGGAAAGCAAGAGTTCATCAGATTTTGTACCAGCTTATTGAGAAACTTCAAGATTTCAATTAAATCTCTTGCTATTCAGATCAAATGAGAAGGGTTTTTTTAAGCTAGCTTTATGAGTCCTGCAGCATTTAAAATACTTATAAAAATAGTAAATACATTTCATGAATTATTTGCAGCTTTCTTAATGAGATTTAAGTTGCCTTCTATTAAAGAAATCTGTAACTGCTTTTTCAACCACAACGTAACTGGTAAGCATGTTTATTATACTCAGAAGCCAATATAATTTAGTTTTATCAGTTTTTGTGTCTGAATTGATATCATTTTCAAAAGCATTCTTTGCTTGCATGTTTCTGGTGTTTAATACTCTACTTGTTATTTAATTTATTTATGACACAGAAAATAAGAACCATTGCAGACTCTGAGCACCATGGCAGTATAATAAAACACAGTCTGTGGTTATTAAATAGAAATAACAAAGAAACAGCAACAGATTATTTAAAATCCAGCCATCCAGCTGAAAAGATAATAAAACTCTGACTCTTACCAACAGAAAAAAACCCTAAACAACCTAAGAAATCTTTTTTCTTTTCTTTTTTTTTTTTTTTTTTGGAAATGGCTTAGCTTTTCCCTTTTCATAACATTCTAGGCTTTAAAATATTAACAACTGATGTTTGTTCATGTCTGAGCTTTAAGCAAAACAGTGAGGGAAATAACCGAGCAATAGGCATAAGTGTTTGATTTTTTGAGATTTTAAAAAAAAAAAGGAGTTAGTTGGCCTGAGGCTAGAATTTTCATTACATCAATGAAAGAAAGAAAACAGAAGCCAGCAGAGGGGAGTTATAGAAACTGACTTTATATAAACAGTGAGAAAAATCTTTTTCCATGGCCACCTACAACGTAGCTACTTTACCATCAGTACGACTTTTCTTTTACCAGTGGCATAGCAGCCTGGCCCCAATCCTGCTGTTTTAGAACAGGTTACCGTCTGGCCGAGAGGTTTGCCCCTCACAAGATCAGGCTAACAGTTTGTCAAAGAGAGCAGAAACAAAAAATTTTTCCACATACCTAAATTGACAAAGCTCATGACCATGTCAGCATCATTCAGAAAGTTGGTGTCGTGCAGGCTGGCTAAGGGAGGATTCTGTGTGGTCAGGGGGGTCATGCGAGATAATTGTATTCTCCGCGAATATCCATTTGGAGAGGCAGGGTATCCTTTCCGTATCCCTCTGCTCTCCCCTGCCATTGATCCCTTTAGTGAATACTCCAGCTCCTCCGTATCCTCTTCATTTGTCATGGCATTATACAGGTCCAGCATGAAGAGGGGTGCAGAAGAAGCCTGCTTTCCTGGTGAAAATGGTCTGGGTCTGTGAGGTAAACCCAGGATAGAGAGAATCTCTCTCTGAATCTCCCTTCTCTCATGGTTCCGCAGTCTCCTGTAAATAAAACTCGAATGGACATGATTGTCTCCTAAACCTCCCTGTGCGTGACCCACCAGAACCCAGCAATTCCAGAGCAAGCCCATGAAAGCTTTGAGCGCAGTTAGGTTCATCTTTGAAAAGAAAAAGAACAAGGAAAAAAAAAAATCAAAAAAAATCTTTTCTCCTACTTGTTCTGAGTTCCTATGAGGTCTGCTTTCCCAGTGGCTGAAAAACAAAATTTACCTATTCTTCATGTCAATGTCATCTCTAAACGTAACATCTTTGGTGATTTCTCTCCCCCCACCCTGTTTAAATATTATGGAATGTGTCAGGTTGCAGTTATTTCTAAGAAAGCTGAAATTCAGACTTCCAATTTTCCACTGTTGTTATCGTTTTTTCTGCATTTATGGAGCAGAAGACCAGTATTTTGTCAGCTGACCTAGGCATTCCTATATAAACCTTAGATAACCAGGTCTTTGGTGGGGAGCTGTATTAGCAAGAGCTGTTCTTCTGACACATTGTAGTTCCCAGAGTTATCTTCCCTCGTTATTCTGAGTTCTTCGTACACCTTGCGCTCTTCCCAAGATAAAATCCTGAGTCACAGATTTGTCTTGATCTGTACCTTGGTGGTGTAACACATATTTGTCCAGCAGCCTGGTGATAACTTTAACATCTTTTGAATCGCTTGAGTGTAAAGTAATTCTACAGCATGTACTAATCAAATTAATGTGTTGCCATGAATTTACTCGCAAAAAAAACCTTCTGTAAATCCATTCAACCCTTTTCAGCTTCTGAACAGTTATTTCCAACTCTAGCAGGCACAAATATAACAGCTCTCTTCAAGAGAGATCTAAAGACTAATGTAAGCACAACCCTGCTGGGAAAGAAGAGGCTTCTCATTGTAATTTGAAACGGGTATAGCAAAAAAGTCCTTAACCCTTCTCTTGCCAGACAGAGCTTTAAACCTCTCCCCCCCCAATTTACAGTAATATACCTGATTTTGGCTATCGGCTGGTTTTTTCCTAACAGTTTGCAGAATCAATTTTAACTTTAACAATTTTAGGATATATAGATAGCTAAAGGCATGGGGTAATGTGGAAGCTCTTGTGAGTCTCCTTATGAGTCTCTAGTTTAGTAAACTTGAATAGGAAACTCTCATAACAGACTAAAATAACATCTCATTAATTCAAGAAATGTTTATATTTGAGGTAAGTTTAGCAAAAAAAAGTTGACCTTTTTAATAAACCCTGTAGGAAATTTTGTCAGTGAGGCTTGGTTCACTCTTTTCTAAAAATGTCGGGAATGCAATCTGAATGAAAACAAATTTATTCAGCAAGCGAGATTTCAAGTTGTGCATAGCCAATGGTGTAATTATGGTTATAGTCACAACTTTCATAAACTGTAATTTGCAATGATAATTTATTCAAAGTACATTTTGACTCATAAATCGCTATACCACATTTCCCAGTAAATATCAAAAGCTAAGATTTAATCCCACAACCTATTATTAACTGCAGAAAGAAACAGCTTAACTGAAGAAATAAGAAATATTAAATAGATTTTAAAGCTGCTGCCATGAAGTTAAAGTTTGGCTTAGAATTGTATGACAGCCAGCAACTGGTGTTTTCCTCTCACTAAAACAAAATCGCAGTGTTAGGTTTCATATTGCTCAGATTATTGGTGGTCATTTTCCCCACTCCTATAATTTGCCTTCGGTCTTGAGGAGACTTTCCTTTGATGAAGGGGAGAAAAAAAGGACAAAAAAGGTTAATACGGGACGCTGAGGAAAAAAACAGGTATATAAAACGCATCCCGTCGGGTTTTCCCTTACATGACTAGCACCTACTCAGCAAATCACACAGTTCTTGAGTAAACTTGGGAGTGTGACAGCAAGTATAGTCACACCCTAAGAAGCCAGGAACAATTTATCTAGTATATTAAGCACAAACGAGCTTTTCTCATATAATGTGAGTCCTAGTCTACATTTACAGTCTAGTCCAGCTATCATTAAAATATAGTTGATTCTCTCCCATAAATCAGCACACGTAATAGACAATGCTTCTACCAAGGAAGGATTTATTTCATACTAGACCTGCTGAATTAACACTAAAATTAATTATGAAGCTATTTAGCAAAGGTTCTGTTCCCAGCAGAAGAGCAGTCAGAATCAGAATATGCTTTCTTTCCTCACTGAGGTTTTCCCTCAAAATCCATTTGTTATATGAAAAGTATTATTTCCTGGGTTTGTTTTGCTTTCACTTGTCCCTCTCAGACAGTTGTAATGATACATGAGACTTTACCATACATGTGTCTTTTTTGAATTTGGCCATCATGTATCCTGCAACAAGGCTTAGTTCTCTTTTCCAGTAATATATTTCCTTTTTTTCCCTAAGCATTCATAAAAGCCAGTGGATTGATTGCTCAGAGGATTTAAGTCCTCAGCCTATCAGTACGTCCAGCAATAGAAACTTCCTATATTATCCCACTAGAGTGTCTGGAGTCTTCTCCCACTTAAAAAGCCAAAAAAGGCCTCAAGTTTGAGGATGCTTTTATGCTGTAAACAATTTTCCAGACAGAAACTGAGTAAGAAAACATATAAACTAGTAATCATATGTTTGATGAAAACTGCTCCTGTTATTTTCAGACGGAGCCACAACCAACCATGTAACCTAAATACAAAGGATTTATTTTACATTAACCTACCCTGCACTGAGGTACCAAACATCCTTGACTAGAACAGGAAAATAAAAATAAAAATCGTTTTCATTAATATAAAGACAATGTCCTTTTGTAATAAACCCGTGTCCCATAAACAATCATTGTTAACATGGATATCTCATACTTGGGAGATATAGCCAGGTCTAAAAATGAAAACCTTTGCTAAAGAAATGAAAGGGATTTGTAATAGCTGATAGGTCCCATTTCATATTTCCAATATGAATCCATTTACTTCTAAAGAAAAAATACCACATACAATTTCAGCATGTCAAGATATTTTATTTGATAATATATAAAAATAGATTGGCACAGATATCTGGATGTAGTTTAGGTTAGGGTTCAGTTTCAAAGTCACCTTTGATCTAGGTTTCAAATTTTACAACAAAAAATTATTCCGAGCTGTTTGCATAATACTGAAACTTAAAAGAAATGCCATGTTCACGCCATTTTTAGATGCACTCAAATCTAAATAACAGTTGAGGTCGGTGTAAAGTATTGACCCAAAATCAAAACCAGGGATTTGAACATGATGCCCCAGAGATTCCAGTTTTACCCTGCATCTAAAACTGAAATATTGAAATATAAAACCTACACATAGACCTTCTTTCTTCCCCAGATGCTCAACCTGGAAGCAACATAAGAAATCACCTGACCAGCCCTTATCCAGTCCTTTTAAAAAAAAAGGAAAACTAAAATGACTCCAGAAATGAGCTCCCATTAGGGATAGATATCTAATAGAGGAGGATGTTACCAGTGGAGCACCTGGAGAGCAGGGTCTCAAAGGCAGGAGAGCAGCAGAGCACCATGCAGGCACCCCTGGCAGCACAAGATAGGGAGCGGTTGCATGAATTTCTTAAACAGTATGTGGCATATATGTACATGATGAGTGAATTCAGAGCTCATTATGTTTGTACTAACCTAAACAATGTTAGAGCAAATATAAAGGAAGTAATGAAACCTGGGAATCCAGCTCTCGCCAATCTCAGATTCCAATGGATCATAACGCTGCAATGGTGAAAAAATTTATAACTACCCGGCAGGTCTCTGCAACCATTGAGGGTGCAATTGTTTTTATGGGCAATGACCAGTACTCAAAAATATATAAAATCAGTGGATGGCTACTGAATGCACAATCCCTTTGGGCTCTCAATATCACATCAACTGAGAGTGATTTCCCACAGCAATGGTTCACTGTAACTGTCTGACAAAATAGGCTAAAACGCAGACCCTCTCCAAGATATTTGCAGTCTAAATCTGAAACCTACACATGCACGCTGAATGATTCTGCTGGCTCTTTACATCTTAATGACCAGCTACATTTGCTATTCAGATCAATATTATGCATAAACAGATGATCCAGCATTAAAAATGTGTAAGCCTGTCCTTGTTATCTCTCTGCAAAGCCATTGCTGCAAAAGGTACATGGAGAAAGACTTTTATGAAAGCAGGTTTCATGAAAGCAGGAAAATCATTAGAGGTTAAAAATACAGATTCCACAGCAAAAACAAAGCAAGTCGTCTGGACTCTTCCTGGGACAGAAACGTTACACAGGCACCACAGTTAGGCATACCTGTTATATTACCTGTATCCAAGTCGGATTTCCAATGGTATGGACTGCATGAGGTGTACCTATGAGCCTTTGGACGTAAGTATGCACATGTTCATATGTTTCAAATGTCCAATCAACAAAACTTGTATGACGTCTTTCACTCAGTATTTTATTTTATTTTATTTTATTTTATTGAGTTGGATGTTGTATGACAGTTGTATTCTTACCCTGCAAACATAAGAAAGAAACACAGACATATTTTTTTGTATCAATGAAAGATATGTTTCCTAATGCAAGGGGAATTCCATTTGCAATGGACACAGTGTGAAAATAGAATTAGCTGCAGAAATTGGCAGTTGAGACATAAATTGAGTATCAGATTTGTAAATGTTACATATTGATATAAACCCCTTTTATTCTGAATAATCTCACAGCATTTGCTAACTGATAGACAGGAATCATTTCAAATGCAGAAACACTACCATTTTTGGAACAGAAAATTTGTTCAATATTATTACTTTATTTAACTTCATATCAGAACGGAAAGATAGCTGTCCTGAACCACAAAGATAGCTATGCTCCTCAACCACGAGGCAATTTTAGGATAACCACTGGGGTTTTACCCAACATCTATATGCTTTACACGTATTCCTGAGGATCATTAAACATTATATAGAGAAAGTACTTCCATTTTATGCTGCAGGCAGAGGAATGCATTGCAAAATAATACTTGCTATGTGGAAGTGTTCAATACTGAGATTCTAATGCTATTTATTCAGTTACCAACCAGTTTCCTGTAGCAAAAGGGTTTTTCATCCAGCATTTCAAAAGCTCAGGCAAAATCACAAATCAGCCTAGAAGGTAAGTCATCAAGCATTTTATAGATAGTATTTAATAGAACACTTTTTTTAAAATTTACAGAAAGACCTCCAGCTTTAAGTATAATCAT